ACTCCAATGCTGGCCTCTCTTAGATATGGTGACCCCGGGCCCTTTTCTGGTTGGATTTCTACATCCTAAGAACTCCCTTCTGCTAGTGCCATTGGCTCCTTTTTCTTCTCCAACTCCACAGTGTAGTCAGTCTCAAATTCTTTCTCCACAGCCTTCTCTAACAAACGCCCATACTCTGCCTCCCCATGGGTGATCCCAGCCATCTCCCTGTCTACGTCCCATCTCCAAGCAATTGACCACCACGACATATTCCAATTCCAGAACCTTCCCGAAGCCCCAGTCCCTACTTCTAATCACCTGATGATCACTGGATGACGTCAAACTTGTCATTTGCTTCGAGGATCAGTTCCTACTCCTTCCAGCCATTGACTCTCAAAGGCAGCATGGACTTTTCCCTAATCACTCAGCACTCTATGGGTGCCCAAACCATGCCGATTCTGCTTTATGTTCCTCTGCTCTTTAACTTAGTTATAGTTATATTTATATTATATAGTTATATTTATAATAACTATAAAGTTATTAGCTAATGCTGCAGAAGTCATTAATTATGTGAGTACTCTATGTAGAAAAACATTTAGAGTGCTTCCCTAATTTGTTCTAAACATTGTATATTTAATCCTATAAAATATGAATGGATGAAAAGTCACTGAATTGTCAAGAAAACTGGACATTTAGGAACAAAGTGTCACTTTACTACCTAATGATAAATGTAGTCATCCCCCGACACTCCCAGACCCCCCAAGCTAAATTACCAAGCTGACCTTTCTCCAAAGGCAAAGCATCTACTCAACAGTCATTGTAGTATGATTTAAAAAATAACTAGTCTTTATTAAGCCAAGTCTTTTACATATACTATCTAAACTAACCCTCGAAATGCCTCTCAGATCCAGGTATGATACTTGTTTTTCCTTTTAGACAATAAAATTGAAGGTAAGTAAGGTTATATAACCAGCTCAAGGACATGCCACTAGTAAGTGGGTTCAAACTCATTTTTTTCTAATTCAGAACCTTTGTTCTTAACCTGTATGCTGTAATCACTTGTCCTTTCTGGTCATTATTATCATGCTAGCATCCTTTCATCAGTACAAATCCCTCTGTATCAAGTACATAATACAATACTGGAGACTGCCATTCTTGTGGAGCGTGGCTAAAACTCTATCCTTGCCTCCAAAGTCAGGGAGGAGATTGAATATGATCTTTGCTTCCCGGCAATAGGCAACTGGATTTATTAGACTCTGTTAGCATGATTTCTGAGACAGATTCTCTGTTCAGTTGTTTTCTATCACATTTCATACATGTTGTTTTATTTATTCTCAAAAGCTCTTCAAGGTTTGCATTCTAAACTTCACACTTCTTACTGGATGTGGTATCTTCATTTTACTACTAGAGATTTTCCAAAGTGGATAAACGTAGTCCTTAGTCCAAATTCTTAGAGATTGATCTGCTCCGACTAGAAGGCAGTGCAGACTAGGTTTTGTGCTCAGACAATCCTAGATTTGCATTTGATTCTTTCATTTGCAGTCTATGCTGTATGACTTTAAGTTACTTACTTAACTTTTCTGAGTCAGTTTCCCCTCTCTCCACGTTACCAATCCAATTTTCTGTCTCTTGATATTTTCACTGAATATTTTATGGGCATTTCATTTCCAATCCTGGTACTCACTACTCCTACACACCTAGTCTTCCTCATCTCTGAAAATAGTACCACTACCCACCCAGTTATTTCAGAAACCTCCAGCCATTATTGATTTTCCTCTCTCTCTCTGTCACCCCAACATTCAATCCATCTTTAAGACCAATAGATTTTACTTATAAATTATATCTTGAATCTGTGTATCTCTCTTCTTCAAAATACCACCCTGTTCCATGCCACAATCATTCCTTTCCTGGCACCAGAACACTTCCATAATATTCTGCCCAGCTGCTCTCTCCTCCCACTTCAATCTGTTCTCCATCAAGCAGCCAGAGTGATTGTTTTAAAAGAAAGAAGATAGTGTTACTCCCTTGTTAAAATCATGCAGTGACTTCTAACTTAAGAATTCCAATCTCTTCTTCACGCCCATTAGGATGACTATTATTAAAAAAAAAAAAACAACTAGAAAATAACAAGTGTTGGTGAGAATGTGGAGCAACCAGAACCCTTCTGTGTTGCTGGGGAAACGTAAAATGGTACAGCTGCTGTGGAAAACAGAATTGCAGTTTCTCAAAAAATTAAAAATTAGAATTACCATGTGATCCAGTAATTCCACTTCTGGGGATACATCCAAAAGAATTGGAAACAGGGACTCAAACAGATATTTGTACATTGTTGTACACTGGTTTTACAGCAACACTGTAACACTGTCCATAGCAGTGTTATTCATAACAGCCAACTGTCCATCAACAGCTAAAGGGCTAAACAAAAGGTGGTATATACACACAATGGAATATATTATTCGGCTTTAGGAAAGAAATTCTGACACATGCTATAATATGGAGGAACCATGGATAAGCCATTAACAAAAGGACAAATATTGTATGAATTAACTGACATGACTTTTACCTAGAGTAATCAACTCATAGAGCCAGAAAGCAGAATGGTGGCCACCTGGAGCTGGGGAGAGGGGAATGGGTTGTTGTTTAATGTGTTTAGAGTTTCAGTTTTGCAAGATGAAAAAAGCTCTGGAGATGGATGATGCTTGCCCAACAATGTGAATAGACAACGTCACTGAACTATACACTTAAAATGGTTAAAGTGGTAAATTATATGTTACATATATTTTACAATTTAAAAAAATCCCAAACTCTTTCCATGACTTAGGAGGACTTGCATGATCTCGCCCCTGCCTACCTCCCCTACGTCCCCCTCTCATTATTCCTACGGGCTGCGCCCTCACAGGGGTGCTGTGAACCCGCAGGTCTTGAACCTCAGCCATTCCCTCCTTTCCTCTCAGGGCTGCTTCTCCTCCCTCTGGCCACTGCTGCTGCTTAAAAACTATCTCCGCAGAGAAGCCTTCCCTCACACTGGAAGCCTAAGTCAGTCCCCTATTCTTCTCTGTCATGTTCTACTCCTTCACAGCATATCACAGGGGGTTTATAGTCACATGTAGTAGCTTAATGAAAGCTGCCTTGCTCTTTAGGAATCAGCAAAAGCCCTACACTTCAGTCACCCACACGGCCCCCCAGGCTTCCTTGCGGGAGTGAAGTCAAGTTCACTTGGAAATAACTCAGGATGATTGCTCACCTTTAATGAGCATTTTTGAGTATCCTCAACTTGTTTAACTTACTCATTCTAAAGAAGAGACTTCAAACTGTTTTCCCTGACTCTTACTTAAGTAGTTTCCAAAGTTGGGGGGACTTGTCAACTTTCAAATTAAAAAAAATACATTTCAAAAGGCTTCCTCTGTCCCCTGCCTTCCATTGAGGGAGCTGTTCTTCAAGGGGGAATTCCTCTGAAATAAAATTGGGAAAGGTTCCAGGAGAGTTCATGTTTCCAGTGAGGTCTTCTGAGTTCGGAGGACACAGCCCAGCGCATTCTTTAATCACAGCTGAGGAAATCCCCCCTTGCCTGGGGAAAAGATCGTAATATCTTAAGAAGGCTGATGAGCTCATGAAAAGCAATTGAATTTAGAACGCCAAGACACTCCCAGAAAGCTCCTTTATGCTACTTTTCTCCTCCATTAACCCCTTGAATTTTCCAGATCAGCACCATCCCAAATTTTAAATTATTTTCAAAATAGCTTTTATTTAATGCATTGCAAATTAAAGAGCTGTTCATGCACTATTTCACTGAAACTCCTTCTGTTATATTATCTTCGTCAATTTTAAATGGCTCAGAAAATTAAGCTCCAAAAATGTTGTGATCCCCATTTATCTTTGATGGATTTGGCATTCCCAATTTTAATTTCCGTGTGAAGATTATCTCATACCCACCTTGAAATTTGATGGGAGAAAGAAAGTGGTACATCAGGAGAGCTCAGATGATGAGAAACAAAAAAAGCCTTCATAGTTACCAAAACACTTAAAATTTGCAAGGGAATCCAAAGATGTCAGAACTAAAAGTCTACTTGTTCATATAACAATATTCACAAGCAAACTACTCACCGTCCTTCTTTAAGGTGGAGACATAATAAAACGAAGCAAATCACCTAAAGTAGAATTCACTATACATGGGAATCCATTTCCCAAAGGCCCTATAAACACTGTAGCTTCCCACCACCTCTCTCACTAATGCATACGTATATGCCATACTTATTATTTCTTTCTTTGACTCATAAAACGAAAGATTAAAATTTCAGGTAAAAATGAAGGATGGGGATGGAAAGTGGTTTTTTCCTTGCTCTTCTGGAGTTGTAATAATCCTACCTTACCAGAGTCAAGAAAGTGTAAGTCTGGAAATAAATAAAGCATTTTGTAGATGAGAGTTGTTTGTAAATGTAGAAAGCAAGAAATTTCCATGTATGGACCTTAAGTGCATTCCAGTGCAGTGTCAAGTTTTGTGTGCGATAAGGCCAGAGCAGGAAGCCACTCGAGGTCAGGAAGGAAGTGCTGTCAAGCTTGGGAGCGGGCAGAGTCCTGCAGGGAGCTGGGCAGGCTCAGGGCTTCAGCTGTGTAACCATTGCCCTATTTTTAAAAGATAAACAGCATGAATAGCACAAAATACACATGGTGGCTGCTTCAAATTCATCCAAGCCACACAAGGAGCTCACTCTTAGCCTTTGCCAGGCTTTGCAAGTCTCCTCAAAATGTGAAGTAACTATTTCTTCTGGGACATGGGGCAGAGATTGATTATGGCCTTTATCCAGTATCCACAGCTGGCTTTGAGGCCTTCTGGTTATCCTAGCACATTTCCAAGTGTCTCCTGTTTTTCCCATCCACCCCCAACCCACTACCAGCCCCTCTCTGCTGGGAAAGAAATCCTAGAATGAGTTAATGGTAGTAAGAGAAAGTTTTCACCATAACAATGAAGTCTGCAAACAGAACCATCAGGCTGATGACATTGACAATGCTTTCAGAGTTAATTTTTGGATCACCAAGCTTTATTGGGTGTGCATCGTGTGCTAAGCATTGTACTGGGAATTGGGCTTCTGAGGATTAGTCAGCTGCCCTGATCCTCTCATAGCATACACAGTACAGAGTGCTAATGCACTTACTCCTTTTTTTAAAACACTAATACTTTGTATGCCTTGTGGAGAGGGCAGTGATCATGGTATAGAATGGGCACAACAGGAAGACCAATGAAGGGGTCCTAATCCAAGCTCAAATTGGAGATGGGGAACAAGAGAGATTCCAGAGGAGGTGGGCATTTACCAAAGGAGGTGGAAGAAAAGCATCAGAAGAGAAAGGAAGTGTGTTCCCAGAAGAGCAGCGTCCACTGAGGCCAGAGACAGCATGGGACACACCACACAACAGCTCAGAAAAGAAGAATGCGCCATTTGGCACTGTCTCTGGGACAATGAAGAAGAATGATGGGTATACGCTCTGTGGCCCAGGGTCATTGCTGGAAGCCCACGATCTACCATCTTGAGCGTGAACTGCCTACTGGACAGAGCAGGTGCATCCAACGCTGGGATTAAAGGAAACCAAGTCAGAGAAAAAACCTCAACAATAAGCACAGCTTCATGCAGAAAAGATTGAGAAATCTGACCACATAATTTCAATTTTGTTCATCAAAACATACCATTAAGAGAGTAAAACACTCCTAATGAATCAATAAAAAATAAGGGAAGATGATACAAAAATGGACAAGAGACTCGAACAGGAACTTCACAAAAGGACAAATTCAAATACTAGCCAAGCATACAAATGAAAAGATACCCATATCATTAGTAATCAGGGAAACGTAAATGAAAACCAACATAAGGGCACAATTCTTTGAGTCAGACTTTGACCTCCTTGGAGAGGCAGAAAGTCCACCCCAATCACTGTGTTTAAAGGAGCGCCTGCTCCCCGCCTCCACTCCCTTACAATGTGTTCTTGTTCCATTTTTGGTTTTTTACTGAGGCCCAGAAAGGTTACTGCACTGGCTTAAAGTCATGTACCTAGTAAGAACAGAAGCCACAACACAGCTAGCATTCAGACCCAATCTGACTTCCAAGCCCCATGCTCCCAAGAACCCATCTCCCAGGGGCTCCTTGTATCTATAATCAGCAATTACTTCAGGGCACAAGTATGCCATACTTTTTTCAAACAAATGGCTTTAACCAAGATTTTATTATCACTTATGACAATATGTAAATAAGAAATATCTGATTTTGGAGGAAATTGATAAGTCTACTGAAAAAAGAGAAGGAGAGAGAAAGAGAAATGTGTTCTAAACTCAGATCAGGAGGCAGGAGGCCCTGCAGGCAACGAAGCATGAGAGGAGACAGCCAGAGAGGAAGGCAGAGCCTGTCCTGACATTGGGACACAGGCACAAGCCCTCTGTCTCCACAGGGACACCATCCTTGGATGTCAGATCGATAAGCCCTGCTTAAAGCACCACACTGTGGATTAGAAATGCAAGGGATTTTCCAGAAATTATGTTTAAAACAGCTTCTGCCCAGTGAGATTTACAATTTGGGGCCCTTCCTCCTCTGTATGCTTCCATGGTCTGACTGCCTATGTCTTTAAAGCAAATTCTGACAATATTTCTATTCATGGTCATTTTGGCTCAAAAAATCAAAGTGGATGTCAGGTTTCAAAGACCCAAGGGAAACAAGATCACTACTGAACATACCACCACTTACTGTTGGGCCAACAGCAGTTAAGCTGTCAAATCAGGCTTTGATTTTAATATTCCTCAGTGAGGGAAGTACATAGTTTTTGTAGTGTTCTTTATTTCGGTATGTTTTCAGTACTTTACCCACACAAATATATCACAGTCCACAGCACACTTTTCTAAACAAAGGAAGAAAATACATGGAGTCAAGAGCCTGTCTGCATGTCCCACCTAAATTGCTAATCAGATATTTGCAATTTGGCTTGGATTTATAGCATGTTCATAACGACTTATGTAGTATTTATACTGAAGTTTTCATTGAAAAACTGAAGTTACTTCAAAGATTTTGTATTATTTTCTTCAAAACAGTCGTGGAAAAAGCAAAACAACAAGTTGCAAAGAAGCCTAAACATTGAATTAGACGGCAGGTCAGAAGCTGCACTGCTCCACCATTTACTAAAAAATAGTTATTCCTCATTTATCTTTCCAATGTAAGTATCATCCGTTTACTTTTCCTCCAAGCTTTATTGATGTATAATTTACATACAATAAAATTCCCCCCTTTTTTTGTGTAAAGTTTGATAAATTTGGGCAATTGTGTACAGTTGTGTAACTACCAACACAAACTGCTCTGCCTTCTGTCATTACTGTTTTTTGCCATTTCTAGGATTTCCTATAAGTTAAATCATACATTACGTTTTCCAAATTGGCTACACAATTGTGCATTCCTACCAGAAATGTGTGAGTTCCACTTCCTCTACATCTTACCCCACGTGTGGTATTGCCAGTCCTTTTAATAACAGCCATTCTCGAGAAAGTGTGGGACCATCACTGTAGTTCTAATTTTCATTTCTCTGATGACTAGGGATGAGGAGCATCTTTTTATGTGCTCAGTGGCCAATTTGTATATCTCCTTTAGTGAAGTGTTTTTCAAATATTTTGATCATTATTAAATTGCATAAGTTGTAAAAAGTTGTATGTGTTGCAAATATTTTCTCCCAATCCGTGGCTTGCCTTACCATTTTCTTAACTTTTATTCTTTTTTTTTTTTTTTGGTAATTTTTAAAGATGCAGTAGCAAAGGCATAAGCAGAAAGATAAGAAAAGAAAACACATGCTATAAACTCCTCATTAAGGACACTAACTTTCAAAGCCAAAAGCAAGAGAATCAAAGGTCTAAGGATTTGAAATTGAAGAAAAAGAGAGGATGACGACAGCAGGGGTTATGTGATTGTGAGAAAGTGCTAGAAAAGCATGTATGGCCGGATGTTGAGATCCTGCTTCTAGCCAAGATGAAGTAACAGGGACCAAATCTACCCCCCAACAAGAAACAACTAAAAAACTGGACAAAATATATGAAACAATGGTTTTCAAGACATTGGCCACTAGGCAATGAAGGACAATGATCCCCGAGAGACTCCACCAAAGAAGACAAGCACATGAAAGTGTTCAATGTTGTCAGTCATTGGGGAAACGCTAATGAAAACCACAACAAGATGCCACTTCACTCCTATTATAATGTGTAAAATTTAAAAGACTGATCATACCAGGTGGTGACAAGGATGTTGAGGAGCTCAAACTCTCATACACTGCTGGTGGGAACATCCAACCACTTTGGAAAAACATTTGGCAGGTTTTTTTTAAAGGTGAACATATACCTAAATGACCTAGCCATTTTGCTCCAAGAGAAAGGAAAGCATGTGTTCAATACAAAGTCTTGTACTTGAATGTTCATAACAACATCATTTGCTGCCTAGTGGTTCTCAGCTCGAGGTGATTTTGCTTCCTACTGGGTATTTGGCGATGTCTTGAGATATTTTGGTTGTCACAACCGAGGGGGACTGGTGCTATTGGCATCTAGTGGGTAGAGACCAGAAATTCTGCTACACATCTTGCGATGCACACGACCGACAGTCCTCCACACAAAGAATTATCCAGCTCAAAATGTCAGTAGTGCCAAAGTTTAGAAACTGTGTCTATGGCCCCAAAAGGGAGCAACCCAAATGTCCATTAATAGGTGAAGAGACAAACTGTGGTATACCCAGACCGTGGAATACTACTCAGCAATGAAGGGGAACAAACTACTGGTTCAGGCAACAGCATGAATGAATCTCAAAAACATTATGCTGTGTGAAGAAAAAGACACAGAAACAAGTACCTACTGTACATTAGATAAAATTCTAGGAAATGCAAACTAATCTACGGTGACAAAAACAAATCAGTGGTTGCCAAATATAGAGAACAGGGAAAGATCAAAAAGGGATGGGAGAGAGGGATTATAAAACGGCTCCAGGAAGCACATGATGGTCATGGATATGTTCATTTTCTTGCTTTGTCGTGATGGTTTCGTGAATGTACACTTATGTCAAAATTTATCTAATTGTACACTTTAAATCTGTACAATTTATTGTGAGTTAATTATACCTCAACAAAGCTGTTAAAAACATCTATTTGCAAGAACACTGAAAATAATTACAAAAAGGTAATTAAACTAATTCACTATACTGATTAATTAAAGAAGAGGATGAAATTTAATAATGAAACCTAAATAAACATTTGCCAATAGTTGACTAATTAGTTGGAAACTAGAAGTCTGTGGACTCGACTTACGGTCCTAGTTCCAGTGTGATAGTTGTAAATGACTTAATTCATTTGTAAGATGTGATAGTTGGAATTAGTGCTTTCAATCCTATACTTTTAAGGATCCCTCTTTTTTTCTCCTTTAGACTATTTTTATAGATTTCAGTGCTTTCTAGTGTAACTGAATCCATCTACTGTTATAACACCGAACTCACATAATGGCAGCCGACCACCAAGAAAATGTATAACTGTGTAGGTTGCTCTTGTCAAGGCCACCTGCTCATTTTCCCATGGTTGATGGACTTCCTCTTCTCAGTTGTGCCTACTGAGGCCAAGGGCATTTAACAATAACCAAACTTAGATAAGCTATTCTAAATTCTCCTGTACTACCTGTGGGGCTGGCAGGATAAAAGCTCGGATAAAACTAAGACCAGGTGATCCTAGATGAGAGATGGATTATCACCTAGAAAAATGACTTTGGAAACTGATTGGAAAGAGCTGAGGAGTCTGAGTAGAGAAACTGGGGGCATAGAGAAAACCTGAAGGAAACTTGGAACTAATTGTTCCAATATAAAGATGCTGGATTAAGTAAGCTACTGAGGGGAGAGACAGGGGAGAGAGTAAAAAGGAGGAGAGAGAGCCAACCAAAGGCAGCTAAGATGTGCTTCTGGAGAAATGACCTAGGAGCACCAGATGTGGAAGAGGAAGAAGAAAGGAAACAGAATAAGCAATTTGGAGTTTCTTCCATGACCAAAGCCTGTGGTCACTGATCAAGTCCTAGAAACCGTGAATTAATGGACTCAGTGAGTCATTATATCTAGGCTACGGACTTTCTCTTCTCTGGGTCTCAGGCATGAGAAGTGAAGAAGGAGGTGGGGGAAACCAGCCCTTGGCTGAAATTCAGCCAGAGTTTCTGAAGTTGCTTCAAGCATTTGAGATCGTGTTAAATGATCGAAAAAGTCAAACTGATCCAAATCTCTCTCCTCTGAGCAGCCATTTTAAGTTAACCTTTTCATCTGATAATTACAAACTTCGATTTGAAACTCTTCACTCGAATGCTTTGGTCCACTGCTAAATAGGAAAAACAAGAATTGCAACTTGGCAGAAATACAGATTAGATGTAGATTACAAACAGAACGATCCGTCACTTTCAGGGAACATAAACCAGCGCAAAAGACATTAAGTAGCAGTTCTAGTTGTGCTGCCTAGATGGCAGAAAAAGATCAAAGCAACACGCTCTGCTACGTGCCACAAATGAGAGCAGTTATTCTACCAGGAAGAGTCATATAAAATTAGCATGAACATGTTTATCCTTATTTTGAATACAGCTTTGTACTGAAAAATAAGGAGAAAGCAGCCAAGCAGTGGGTGTCATTGCCCCATGTTGTTGGCAGGAAAGCATTCTACTTGGCTACCAAGAATTAGTCCACTAGATTAACTCATTCTCCATTCAGCTGTCAATTTGTTTTAGCTAGTCTCTCTAAGTTGGCACTCAAATGCTTCCCTTTGTGTTGCCTTGATTTATTCTTATATTTTACCTTCCCAATTAGATTTGTTTTCCTTGCAGATAGTTTCATTTGTGTATTATGTATACATGTGTGTGTACACACACATACACACGAGTCAATTCTCATTATTTGAAGTAGTTGTGTTCCATGAAGTCACAGTGAACACTGAATTAATGAACACCGTAACTGCTCCTGGGGTATTTACAAGATTAGGATCTTGTGAGTTTCTGGTCACAACATTTTTACCAACTGATCAACACGGAACTTGTTTTATGTGTGCTTCAGTTTAAAGATCCCTTATTCAATACATATTGTTTATTCACTAACTTGAACTCACAGACAACAGCACAATAACACATGCCTGGACAAAGCTTCTCTAATACACACATTTTCTCCTTAAGGCACATCATCACAGCCTTCTTGCACTCAAGAACTTCTGCTAGACAGCACTGCAGCCCTACACTGGGGGCCATTTTAAACAGTGGAATCACTAACAAAAATGCAAAAGATGTGTCACTAAACAGACAGAGAAAAGGACACTTGCTTACAGTGTGAGAGCTTAAACAAGAAGGCAGAGCATTGTCTTGTTCCACCTCAGCTGGAAACACGCCAGTCGGGCAACTCAGATTTTTCCCTGCTCTGTGCATGTCTGCGAACGACTGGGCAAGTGCAGCAAGTATTGATCTTGAAGTCACAAATAAATTCTAGAAAGTATGCAAATTCACAATAGTGAATCTGTGAATAATGAGGATCGACTGTCTATGTGTATTTCTTTGCAGCAAGCTCCTAACAAAGTATATGGCCATAGTAAGCGCAAATTACAGATTTGTTTTCCTTGAAGACAGTTGCTATCTACTATATTAATATTACTCTTCATAGAAAACTCCTGGCCTAGGACATTGACTATATTAAGTTCTCAATTATAGGCCTTTTAAGGTTTTTTGTTCCCACAAAAAAAACTAAAGGGCAAAGACTCCCTTTCAACCTGGTGACTCCAGAGCCTACACTGGGGTACATGAAAAAGCCTGGCACATACAGGCACTTGAAAAATGTTACCTACTTTTCTTTGTTTCCTGATTCATGTTATTTCCTATTTTTCTTATTTGCTTTCATTTTAGCAGCTTGACTGACCCAGCACGTGAATAAACGCAGAGGCAGGGACTGCAGTTTCCATATGTGATGCTGATGGAATGCCACCGAGACATATCCCACTAAATTTGCGGGGTAGCTTCTTCTGGTGCTTATCTATCTTCTTTTAGTTCTCAAAAAGTTTCCAAGCTTCTGGAGGAAATAAAGGAAACCATAAGCTTTATATAAAAGGAATGACTTTTTTTAAATACCAAAAAGTAAAAAGCAGTTCCAAGTGTTAAAGAGCACAAAACTATTTACAGGTTTCAGTTTGTATTCTAGAGAAACATTAATCAGATTAAAATCATACTGTAAGACGTAATACTATAAAGTCATCTCATTTTTACAATATGTTTTAAGTGTTATTTTTACTACTTCTTCACCACCACTCTCAGAAGTACGGTAGTGCTGAAAATACAAGTCAACAAACCACAGCAGACTTTTGCCTCTCCAGGATTTGTGCTGTGTTATTCCACTAGGCCAACGAATGCCTACGAACATTTCTGCAGTGGAGTTATTTTGTTATAAAGGCTTTCGACCCTATTGACAGCAACCATCATTCCTTCGGAAAGTAAGTGTGCAGTAAATTTGCTGTTGGAATGGAAAGTCATTAAATAGCGTGAGACATTTGACCAGCTATCTTCTCAGCTCTGCTCTAAGTCACTTAATCTTTCTTTTCCTTGGTCTTTGTGTCATTAAAATGAAGAAATCAGAATAATTTTTGTCAGATGAATGTTTTGAAATCTCTAATTCAAAGACACTCTATCTAAAATATTGGGCAAATTCTCTCCTAACTGCTTTGTCACAAGATAGGCAAGTAATGAAAGGAAAAGGCATCAAGAGGAGAAAATAGTAATAACAATAATAACAACAATAAAAACGAATACTGTCAATGGCAGAGAGAGCAGGTGGAGGAAATGCATCTACTTTTGGCTCTACTGATTTGATGTCATTTCCACTAACATGACAGAAACAAGATTTTATTAAGGCAGAAATCCACAAGAAGGGAGAAGACAGACATATCAATCATTTTGGATACTAGAAAGCAGACAGGTAAGTCACAAATGAATCAGCAGATCCAAGACAACTTAATCCTAAGAGGAGAGTTGAAAATCAAAGCCTTCAAAGCCTCCAGAAGTGCCACATTCAAGACCTCTGAAAGTAGGAGTACAAAGGTGACCAAAATAAAGAGGATTGATTGAAAGTCTACATAAGCAACTACCAGATCGCCAGTTGCCTCCCCAGCCAGAGCAAAAACTGGAGGGTTATTGTCTGAAGAGAGCAAAAAATCTAGTCTCTGGATGGGGTGATACCATGCACAAAGGTGGGTTTACAACACCGAAACAAGGGAACTGGCTGCTGAGGCCTTGTTGCTCCTCCCCCACTCAGCTTTCAAAGAGCTGGCAGGCAGGCTTCCCTTTCCAGGCAGGAGATGGGAATAGTCGTCTCCAGAGAATAGGACATGCTCAGGAGGAAACACCTAAACAATTTATATTAGAGATTGTGAAACTTGTCAGCCCAGACCCATCACCAGGCAGCAAATACTTCATGCATTAGAGCTTCCAACCCAGTGTTATTCCAACCCACTTGTTCGTCTCCCCCTGTATAAGCATATGACCAGGATTACTAAATGTCTGAGGAAATGGTCTATCATGAAAGAATGACAGAGAGAGAGAGACCAAAATAAACAGGAGAAAGTAACTTGGAAGAAACTAGAGACTATGCAACGGGAAGAAATTGGCCCCCTAAATTAATATTAACTAAGAGAAGATATTGCAACCACGAAACATAAACAGATAGCATTAAAAAAGGGATATATTGAGGCTGGCCTGGTGGCGCAGCGGTTAAGTTCGCACGTTCCGCTTAGGGGCCCGGGGTTTGCTGGTTCGGATCCCGGGTGCAGACTTGGCACCGCTTGTCAAGCCACGCTGTGGTAGGTGTCCCACATATAAAGTATAGGAAGATGGTGCACAAATGTTAGCTCAGGGCCAGTCTTCCTCAGCAAAAAGAGGAGGATTGGCAGATGTTAGCGCAGGGCTAATCTTCCTCAAAAAAAAAAAAAAAGGGATATATCAATGCAAATTCTAATTCAGTAGGTCTGTCTGGTAGATTATGTATTTCCAACCACTTCTGGGGGATGCTGGAGCTTTTGCTCCACAGACCACACTTTCAAGAGCAATATTTAGGATAAATCTGGTCCCATAATAAGAATGTTGTCAAGTTTTTTTCAAAAGCTATTTAAAATGTAATACTGATATGAAGGGGTGCTACATGCAGTTATTTCTAATAGTGAAAATTTAGAAAGAACCTAATTGTCTAGTAACAGAGCCAATATGAAGGGACAATATTCAATCTGGGTGTTTTCAAAGAGGCTTTGATTGCACGGATGGAAGCAGACTGAAAGAAAGTGATCCGGTATGTCAACTGTGATTATGACAGGTTTTGCAATTATAAACAACTATAGTTTCTTTATAACTTTCTGTATTTTATCCAATAAATATGTTTTATATTTATAATAAGATTAAAATCTATTAAGCAAAATACTGACATTTGTATTAAGCAACTATTTCTGACATCTGTATTGTGACATCTACAAGATTTAATCCCCATTAGTTTAACCCTGAAATTCCCTAACTTTAGCAAAATTTTCTTTGTTGCTATTGATATGTGTATTTTTCACAACTCATGATGAATTCCATGTGTTCATTACTCACTGTGCACAAGCAAAGTAATACCTTCTTAGATTTGTTGAAAAAGTAGAAGAAAAAATCTATTTCAAGCTTTAAGAGGAATGAATATTGACCACTGTGAAAGAAATAGATATACTTTTGATAACCCCTGCCCCCCAAAAAAAGAATATATATGGGAGAAAAGACTGAGGATGAAGATCCTGTACACTTCCAGAAAGAAAAAATAAACAAAACAAAGACAAACAGATGCCATACAAAGAATTGTGATCAGAATGGCCTCAGACGTCTCCACAGAAGTGCTGGAATTGGAAGGAAAATTCTCTATACAGCCAACATATCAATCAAGTATGCGGGTAGAATAAAGACATTTTTAGACATGCAAATCTTTATTTGCCGTGTGTTTTTTCTCAGAAATCTGTCTTAAAGCATATGAATGAGTAAACCGAGGAAGAGAGAAATAAGGGTTTTTGGAACCAAAGATCTAGCACAGAAAAGAAGGGAGGAGAATCCTCAGGCATGAAGGGCAGACTGTTGAGATTGGAGTAGCATCCAGAGGGACTCCTCAGGAATATTAAATTTATAGATTGCTTGATGTGTCTGAACATCTTGAGGCGAGATTTATGTAGCTGGCGATGTGTCTGGGGTGGAAATACTAAGTACCTATAAAACTAAGTGGAAAGGATAAATAAACAAATAGAGAGAGGGATGGATAGTAACAAAGGAGAAAACTGGGTGAGAGATATACGTGAACATTTTGTACTATCTTTGCAACTTTTCTGTAAATCTAAAATTATTCCAAAATATAAAAGTTTATTTAAAAAAATGGTAGACACAGAAAAAAAAAGTTATGGGCCCTAAAATTTTACATGCCCCCATAGACATACAGTGAGAGGAGGGACAGTAAAGATGAGAAGAAAATCTGAACAAGGAAAGCCTTCCCACTGAAGGGACTAGCAGTGAGGTGGTCAAGTTGGCAAGAGTGATCACTGCCTTGGTTTACCCAGACTGCATAAGAATGTGTGCACATGACATCCAATCAATGGAGTGCACATGGAGACCGGGCTGCAGGCAGCCAAGGTGGAAATGCTCACTGCATCAGGTATGCCTGGTTCCCCTTTCTGATTCCAGCCAACAGAAACATCCTTCCCCATCCTTTCCTGCTCTCCAGAGCCCGACTCCAAGTGAAGCAACTGCTTACTTTTCGAGATTAGAACACTGGAGTCTGTAAAGAGGTCTGGGCTTGACATCCCTCATTTCCCATTAGCCTAGAGAGGTTTCGTCCATTGCCCAGAGTCCCAGACTCAGGTCAGCAATTTCCCAGATGCAAGCACTTCCAATGTCATCCTACAAAAGTGAGCTAGACTGCTTCCACACATGGCTTCATTTTTCCAAATATCCTCCTTTTCTTCTTAGTAAAACAAAATTGGATGCAAAGTATTAAAAAACTCATAAAATGAACATCTCCTATAATCCCACACCACTTCTCCAGAAGTAGCTTCCTGAATTAACCCCTTTTCTATCCCCATTTCACAAATGAGAAAACTGAGTCCCAGGAAGGTTGTGCAGTGAGAAAGCTGAGTGGCTGAGCTGGCAGTGGAACAAGGTTTCTCTAAGCCCGCTGCAGGGTGCGCTCTTAATGGAAAAAGTATTCTGAAGGTGAGGTGGCCACCAAAACTCATGACTTACATAAGACACCAATTTTGGCTAATTTAGAAACATTTTATACCTGATTTTGTGGCTTCTTTCTTCAGAGTCTGAAACATACAAAGCCCCACCATTGGACAGTGTTTGGCTAAATTTAAACACCGAGATGCAGACATCTTAGAGTCGTATTATTTGGAATTTCCTCCCTGTTAACCTTATCCCCCTCCTAAGGTTTTAATGCTTCCAGAGTGCAGAGAAAAACTTTTTAATCATTAAAAAATATTGTTCCATCATTTACATGAGCTCATCAGCATTTATTAATATTCTAAAGGGGCTGGCTTGCCCCCACTCCCTATCAGATTCTCTCTTTACTGTATACCCTCTGTTAATTCACAGAGTAAGGAATGCATAGAGGGAATCAGTTGCTTATAAAGCTTTTACTTTGAAGGGAAAGGGTTCAAATAATTCAACTCTGTTTGCAAAGAAAAACTTCAAAGCCTTTAAGAAGGCACCTCCCTTTAATTCAGTTTGTTAGATTTGTTCCCCTATTTGAAAGGTAAGAAGATGAAAGAAAGTTAATCTCCCATAAATTCTCCCTCCTGTTATGCCCAGAGTTTCAATACAATACCTTTTTGCTTAGTAATGCTAGCAGTAAAAGATAGGCAAGAGCCAATGATTAGCAGAGCTGCAAATTGCCATTGTTTTCAGCGGGTCTCCAGACATACCTTAACCTCAGGATCCCTCTCAAGTCTCAAATGTATGCTCCTCTCCATCTCTAGTGTCTTATCCTGGGGTTATTCTGACTTTTTATGAATCACCCCGGAAGGTGCTGTGGAGATATAAACGTTAACACAATCTTCAACATAAATCTCTCTTCTTTGGGAAATCATTTTAAATCAAAAACTAAATTTTTTTTTTACCTTCTTCTTAAAATTGCTACCACCTAGTAAGCTACACATCATCAGTACTTAGGATTAAGAACTTCACCTGCAAAAACAAAGAGAACACCTCTATACCTTATTTCTATTTTATGATAAGCTGCCAAAATCCTAAATGTGTAGTCTTTGCTTATTTTAAATTATTAGATGAAAAATTCTTCAGATTGAGGAGCTTTTGAGAGTTGCAAAAGGGTGCTATTCTGGGTCTAAAAAACCCCAAAGCCTATTTATACTATGGCATTGTGGGCCTGAACTATTTTCTCAAAAGCTCCATTTCTCAAAGCTCCATTCCTTGGCATAAAGATATAACTGCTCACCCCTGTTCCCAGTGGTTGGTCTAATGCAGAATCACAAGTTCTTAAAAGTCAATTAACATTACTGTTGCTGGATGAAAATGCAATTAAACCCCAAATTCCTTCCTAAAACATGAAAGAAATTCTCCAAAATAAATGAGAAGGAGGGAATGGGGAGTTATTGCTTATTAGGTACAGACATCCCAGACAGAAAGTCTGGGATGATGGAAAAAAGTTCTGGAAATGGACGGTGGTAGTGGTCATTGAACATTATGAATGTGCTTAATGCCTCTGACTTGCACACTTAAAATGGTTAAAATGGTAAACTTTATGTTATGTATTATTTTACTACAATTTTTTTAATTAAATAAATAAACAATAGCTTCATATTAAAAATGTTAATTCAGGGCTGGGAGATAAGCAGAAAAACAAAACAGTGTTTCTGGTTGATAAATTGTCACTAATAGATATCGAAAATCTAATAACATAAAATTTTTGACACAGAAATTCCACTTTCATCAATTTATCCTAAGGATATAATTAAAAATGTGCACAAAATCTATACGTAGAAGGGCATTTATAATAGCATTGTTTGTGGTAGCAAATTGTTAATAAAATGTTGGGAAAACCTAAACACCCAACACTAATAGTTTAATAAGTTCTGGTTAATTTATTAAATAAATTACCCTCACCTCCTGGCCAGACCTCTCTAGCATCTTTGTTTACTCTTCCACCTCCGACTTTACATTAAATCTGGGCATTCCTCTGCTCTTTTCTGTCTTTCTCTCAGTCACCATTGGTTCACTCAGCAATTACTTATTGACACTTCCTCTGTGTCAGAACAATAGCAGGTGCTGGGGATAAAGCTTTCAACAACTCAGACAAAGTCTCTTTTCTCATGAAGTTTATACACTTTGGGGAGGATACAAAGAAGAAAATCAGCTATTATAATATCATATGACAAGTACTAGAATATGGGGTACTCTGGGAGTACGTGGCTCAGGCCTCTAAAACAGATCCAGGTGCATCTGACATGACTTCCTGGAAGAAGCCATGTCATCGGGATGAGTAGAAATTAAGTAGGGAAAGAACATAAGGGGAAAAGAATGTTGCAGGCAGAGATAATAGCATGTATAAGGACTCAGAAGTAAAAGAGAGCAAAGTACACTTAAGACACTGGAAGTATTTCAGAATAGCATGAGCCTAGAGATGCCAGGAAAAGAGAGGAAGAAATACATCCTTGTCCACGGAGCTTCAAATCAGACTCAACCTCAAACCAAGGGCTTAGTTGACTCATCTACTGGGTGTCTCCACAGGAACAGGCTACAAGCAGCCCAAGTTCACAGGCTCCACACTAAGTTCATCATCTGCTTCCCTCCCTCAACCCCAGTCCTCCCGTTTGAATTCTCAACCACAGTGAATAATGCCACCAGAAACCTGGAAACCACACATAGCTCCTCAGTCTCTTTCCCCTCCTGGTGCCTTATGGGGCTCTTGTGGGGAGGGAAAGGTGGAGGCAGGAGTGGGAAGCTGAGCTGTGATGTAAGCCCAATAACAGCCTGGCTATCTACTTCCTAAATTTTTTTTGGTGGGGTGGGGGCGGGAAGGAAGACTAGCCCTGAGCTAACATCTGCCAATCTTCCTCTTTTTGCTGAGGAAGACTGGCCCTGAGCTAACATCCATACCCATCTTCCTCTACTTTATATGTGGGATGCCTACCACAGCATGGCTTGCCAAGTGGTGCCATGTCCTCACCGGGGACCCGAACTGGCAAACGCTGGGCCGCCAAAGTGGAACGTGTGAACTTAACCGCTGCCCCACCGGGCCGGCCCCTAAATATTTCCTGAATCAATCTTCTCTCTCTCTGTTTCCACCTTCCATACTCTATAGAGGCTTCATCCCTGGTGTCATTGTCATACTCTGGCATCCTGCCAAGCCCCTCTCCACACTTGAGTCTTTCTAAAACCCAAATATCATTGTCATTCTCCTGGTCGAATCCTTTTGTGTCTTCTCGATGTGCTTAGGATAAAATCTGAACCCAATCATGTTTGACTAGCATCTGATCTTGACTTGACACTGCGGTCATCTACCTTCCCAACTCAATGCGCTGGCCATGCTGGGACTGACCCCCACTTGGTTTCCTGGACCCCGAATGCTTTTTTCCTCACAGAGCCTTCGTGCCAGTGTGATCCCTCTGCCTAGAACATCGTCCCTTTGCTCTTTGTCTGGTTAATTCTGACTTCCCTTTCAAGCCTCAGCTTAAATACTCCTCGTCCCAAAAAGCTATGGTTCTATCATAGGCCCGTTCGTACAGCGTCCTCTTTCTTCATCCTTCCCTAAACTATAGCCTTTGTTATGGTGGGGATTCGGTCAATCTTTTTTTTTCTGGTTTAATTGACCTACATCACTGTATAAATTTCAGGTGTACAGAATGATGGTTTGATCTACATATATTGTGAAATGATTACCACAATAGATTCAGCTAACATTCATCAGCTCATAGAGAGAAAACTTTTAAAAAGAAAGAAGAAAAGAAAAAACAATTCTCCTTGTGATGAGAACTCAAGATTTACTCTCTTAACAACTTTCCTGTATACCATACAGCAGTATTAACTATAGTCATCATGTTGTACATTACATACCTGGTACTTATTTACCTTATAACTGGAAGCCTGTGCTTTTCCCTTTTGCTAATGTTGACAACCCATCCAGAAGCACCTAAGGCTTGGCTCAGGAGCCATACAGCACCTAATACTGCATTGCATTGGCAACAACACATTGCAGACCTGGACACATGCTCAAGGTGCATTGTCCACTGAGAACAGCAGGCTCCCGCATGATATTTATGGTATCATCTCATTTTGTAGAGGAAAATGTCGTCAGAAAAAATTTCTCAAAGGACAAATACCAACATGATAACTGAAATTGTCTCTGTTCCTTAGTCGATCTCCTTACTGAAGGGGAGGGGTCATCAGTCCTTTATGATTTTGTTTTTGTCCATCTGTGTTTTCAGTAATTTTGGGAATCATGGGCATTCTTTTTTTTTTTTTTGCTTTAATGATGATAATAATAATAATAAACAAAGAAGACTTTTATAGAAAAGTAATTCAGGAAATTCAAGAATTTGAGCTGCAGAAATCTATTTCAGAATGCATAAACTTTGCCAAGAACAGACTTCTGAGTTAATTTGTTCAATCTACAAAAATAATGGAATTTACTCAACTCCTGACTCCTGAGTTCAAGAATTGGAATTCTCAAAGTTCACTGTTACATTTTGCTTCTTCAAAAAAGGCAAATATTGCTGCTTCTCTAGAAACAGGCTCTGTTTTTCAACGATGGTGTTATCTTCACTAAATTTTTCCTCTTTTCATTAAATCTGTGCATTTTGGAAGAATGTTTTAAGTACTATCAGAAAGCACTTTACCTTCCAGTTATTTTTCTTGCACTAATTGACTGCGTCTCACAATATTCCCAACTGTAACAAAGCAAGATCGAGACCAGCACAGTCCCTCTCACTGCGTGAGACCTATTGTTAGGGCCACTCGGCTGTTACTCAGGATGAGACAATCAGATATTTAGTCTACATTTGTGCTTGTTCAGTGCCAATATCTTGATTTCAAAAACAGCATGATTTTCTCAGTCGTGCGTGAAAACCACTTCACACACATGGATGATCTTTGCTCTGTTTCTAGATTCTCTCACAAATCTCAGCTTCCTAATTTCTCACCTCCCCCCACCCCCTGACGGAAAACAGCAGCGACTACTTTTGAGGGGGACGGGGTGTCCTGTGGCTGCCACTGCAGATGGATTGAGAAGGTTAACCAATTACCAACTAGCACTATTAACACTTTAACCCTTTGGCCAGTTTATATTGGCACCTAGGTAAGAGTGGTGTTTGCAAAACTGGAACAGAAACCCAGCTAAATTTTGAAAGGGGGAAAGGAGGAGGTAAAAGCAGTCAGCTCAGGGAAAGGGTCCCTGAAAGGTGACCAGCCTCCTGAGAGTGGCAAATGCAAGGCTCAGGAAGGGGACAGCAAAGCCAGGTGCAAAACATTTCCCTGTCTTTTTTCCAAGGCTTCTTATAGAAGTTGCTTTCAGTCAGATGGCTTTGGAATGGTTCTGTGGGCCCTGTTGTACCTCTCGTGCTAGGAGAGGAAAGATGGGAAGTGGGCACTAATGTGAGCAGTGTCCAGTGATTAACTACCTCAGTAATCATGACAGCTCTGGCAAGTGGGTGTTGCCCATCTGATAAATGGAGACAGAGATTCAGAGAGGTTCATCAATGTGCACAGGGCCCTGAAGCTAGATTGCCCAGGCCAGGCCCTTCCTCTCCTCTAGCTACAACCTGTCGAGTCAGAAAAAAGAGGCTCTCAGACCTTAGGCCTCATCTTTTCTGCAACTACCCTCATTCCCTCCACCAATGCATCCTATCCCAGGCTTTGAAGACCATCCAGATGCAAACTTCTAAACTCAAATGCCCACCTACACTCCACAGAGATGTTTAGTGCACTCATTAACATCACATGTCCAAAACCAGCCCCTCCCTCAGTGTTCCTGTTCTCTGGAAACAGCAGCTCCATTCTTCTAGTTAACAGGCCATGAATCTTGTGGTCGCCTCTGATTCCTCTCTTTATTTTAATCCCCACCTCTGATTCAAGGAAGAAATCCTGTTGGTTCTACCTTGAGAATATATCCAGAATCTGAGCACTTCTCCCATTTCCACTCCCTACCCTGGTTCAGCCCACTGTCATCCTAGCTGCCCTCCTGCCCCCACCCCTGCCCCCTTGGTCTCTTCTCCGTACAGCAACCTCCAACTTCTCCCTAACAGCTCCCGTCTCACTCAGGTGAAAGACAAAATCCTTCCAGTGGCTCCAGAAGTTGCCCCACACCCACTTTGGGGCCTCATTTCTGACCTCACCTCCTATGACTGTAGTCTCACCGGCCTTCCTGTGGTTCTTCAAATGCACCAGGGGCCCTGGGGACTCTGCACTCAGATATGCCCTCACTTCCCTGAGTCATGGCTAGAATGTGGCTCTCTGAGTTCTTCCCACCTGCTTCCTTTAAAATTACATCACTCTCACACACGCTGTCCTACCCCCTTCCTGCTTGCTTTTTCTACATTGCGCTGGAAGCCATCTGCTCTGCTACAGAGTGGGTTCTCCCCACACACTCTAGAAGGGAAGCGTCAGAGGACAGGGAGTGTTTACTGCTCTGCTTTCGCGTTCACTGCTTCCCTCTGAGTCCCTGGAGTATGGCAAGAGTTCAGCAAACATTTGTTGATGAACATATTTGCATAACCCTAGTTGTGTATTTTTTTCTTTTCATAGTATTTATTCTCTGTTAGATTCTTGTGTTTCACTCATACTCCATGGGGACATTTCTGATTTATTAGGAGTCCATTTCTATCAATTCTGAGTCTTACAGTAGTATTAAGATGCAAGGTTAAACTCTGGATTCATATTAAACCTATACAGCTCAGCCTATAACCAATGCATATTCATGAAATCAATGTCCAAAGAAAGATCAAGAAAAACGTCAAAATTCCCCTTGTAAGATGGCTCAAATTCTTTACAGAGGGGCTGACTCGGTGGCACAGGGGTCAAGTGCGCGCGTTCCCCTTCGGTGGCCCAGGGTTTGCTGGTTCTGATCCTGGGTGCGGACATGGCATCATTTGTTAAGCCATGCTGTGGCAGGGATCCCACATATAAAGTAGAGGAAGATGGGCACAGATGTTAGCTCAGGGCTAATCTTCCCCCGTTCCACCCAAAAAAGTAAAAAAAACATTCTTTATAGAATGAGAAATGGAATCAATAAATTAAATGTAAATCTACAGAGATGTTCTTTCAGTGAAAACCCACTATGGACACTGCAGCTCTCTTGATAACATCCATCCCTTGGCTCCTCCACAGTGACACCTTAATGGAGTCTGGGTTGCATTGACTTCAAAGTGAACCTTGATTGACCAAAAAGTGGACCTTGATTATCCACTCTTGCGACAATGTAAGATTCAGGTAACTGAGGCCTAAGGTCAATACATGGCATTCCTCTGGCCACAGGACTTTGTTCTGGGATAACACAATCAGTGCAAAGCCGAGGAGTTTCATGTGGCCCTTGAGGAATAAACATACTCTCTTCTGTTCTCACTGAACAAAGAAATAAATACACTGACTTAGTTGTGAGTTTATATCTCTCTTATATATATGTATATGTCTGTATGTAAAATATACAAACAGGCAGAAAGGGAGATGGATAGAGAGAGTGATAGATGGAAGTACTCAACAATAGTCATGAATAGATGGGTACCAGAATGATAATATTTTATTAACACCTCTGAAGTTTACAAACCACTTTCACAAAAATATTATCTAATCTTCATAGCACACCTATGAGGTATAATTTTTATACTATTTTACAAGTGAGGATACTGAGACCTCAAAGAGGTTTTGTAATCTATCCTATGCCCACCACCAGGTAATATATGAAAATAGACAATAAAAATAACCAGAAACTAAAAAGAGAGAAGACATCCTGGAGCTGGACCAAAGTCTGCCTGATTCCAGAGTCCTTTCCTCATCCCACTCAGGCACTGTCTCAGTTAACCCCAAGATAAACATCTTCAGTACCAAGCAAGTAAGGATCAGACACGACCCCAAATTAAACCTGTACAACCATTTGTGGGCTAAGTGTGTAAGAGATGGAGTTTGCCATTATAAATCTCCTAGAAAGGAGTGCCACTTCTGTAGAACATGTCTAGGGCCTGGCACATTTTCACATGGTGACATGCAAGGACTTTGTTCTTCCTTCTTTAGGACTTGGGAATCCTACCTAGCACACGAGGATGCGTCCTGATTCTCTAATGCTCCATAGCTTAATACAATGTCTCAGATGCAAAGGACTCAAGAACTGGAAAATATAGCAAGTCAGCTTTACTACAGGTGCAGCAGGCGATTCCATCCTCAATGGCAGTAGGCTTGCGCAATAATTATAGTTATTAGCACCTATGTTTGTTATTGATCAGTATCTCTGAGCTCTAAGCCCCCTCCCACAATTCTCTGCTCTGTAATTCTTCTTTTAATTGTGGTAGAATACACATAACATAAAATTTACCATTGTAGCCATTTATAAGCGTGCAGTTCAGTGGCATTAATTACATCAACATTGTTTTGCAACCGTCATCTCTAGAACTTTTTCATCATCTCAAACTGGACCTCGGTACACATTAACAATAACTCCCAATTTCCCTCTCATCAGCTCCTGGCAACCACCATTTTACTTTCCATCTCCATGAATTTGACTATTCTAGGTACCTCATATATGTGGAATCGTGCAGTGTTTGTCTTTTGTGAATGGCTTATTTCACTTAGCATAAAATTCTCAAGGCTCATATATACAAAATGTTGTAAAAATAATATACACCAGGGAATTGAATTAAACTTGAGTGGTCCTATTCTAAAAACTTTGCTATTTCTCCCAAAATTCAGACTTCAGCATCCAACCCTGACAGAGAAAATTGTAGCAGGCCTAGCCTCCCATTGTAGACAATTATAAAAAGAACTCAGTAGATAAAGCAAATGTTTTCAAGCATTGGACAACAGGAAGCAGAGGGTGGTAATCCTAGAGAACAGGGAAATACTTGAAATGAGCCCCAATTCTCCCTGGCTTTCAGCCCAGGGACACACTCCAGACTGTGCACAGCGAGGTGGAACCGGAGCAGAGAGCTCCGATCTCTGTGACTCGTGGAAGCAGATATTGGGGTTCAGGGCAGCTGAAATAGCTGGAATTTGTGGGAATGGGTATTAGGAGAAGGGGATGGTAGAAGTCTGAGTGGGTGTCCCCCACGGCCGTGGGCTGAAGGCTGGACTGTACTAGTGCACAGCACATTCTAAGAGGCCCTCAGGGAAGAGCTGCTGCAAGCTGAGAGCCCCACAGAGGTCCCCAGGTCACCCAGGGCTGGGAGATTCCTACACAGTCAGCACACACAGACTTTGTTGAGCCCTGCAAATATTCAACTCAGACCCCAGGAAGACCCTGCCTTCTGAGTAAAGAATATGCCCTAGAATAAGGGCCAGACCCTAGGACTAAGGACAAAACAGAAATAGACCCACCTGGGAGGATCAAGAGGACCTGCTAATATTTAACTACTTGCTGGAATAAAACTCGATACCTTTTAAAAGAAGATGGCTTAATCTAACAACCCTGAACACATCATCCTCAAAACTCAGCATACAATGAAAAATGACTAGATATGCAAAGAATCAGGAAAATGTGACCTACAGTCTCAAAATTATATATTCTTCACATGTCGATCTCTTCCAGTAGGAAGAGTGAAGAGATTTCTGAGACAGCAAAATAGCCAGGGTGCCTCTTGATCTAGAAACAAGTCGCAATAACCTATTAAATACTAATCTACATATGGTAAATGCTGCACTTTTTATCCATTAATTATAGCCATTATGAATTTTTAATGAGATGCTAAAAGATCTTAACCTTACAATCATTTATGAATGTGAAACTAACTGCATCTTATTTAGGGAGCAGTAGCTTTAACATAAATGTGAGTTTTTAATGTCTTACTTTTTTTCCTCCCTGTGGACAAATTGTTTGCTAAGAATTCTAAATAAAGGGCATGATCATAAAACTTACCTTAGAACCTGGCAAGTTTACCTTTTTTGTAGTCAAATAGGTTATGATGTCTGGGTGGTTGTACCACTTGTAGAGGACACTCAGGATGAGGTGCTAGAAGCAAGAGCCAGGGTTTTGAACTTAAAAAGAGAAGGTTCCAGAACTGATGATCCCATCTGGGCAAACACAATGACACCATCCGAGCTGAGCCCTCACTGCTGGCTGTAGCATTTGCTGATGTTCTGTGCCACCCAGCTCCCCTCCCATCCCGGGGGAGCTACCTGTCCCACTGCCACTGTCATTGCCTCCCCTGGAGAGTGACATTACCCTCCATTCTCCAAAATGAAAAGGAGACTTTGCTAAAGTGATGGTCTGGAGTATAGTTTACTTCACTGCCATCACCACAGACTATTCTTTCCCTATTATCTATTATTTACCTCTGTATGAAGATTCTCAATTTCACAATCAACATTTAACAGAAGAGAAGGAAACCAAAACCGAGAGAAGGATCATGATTTTAGCAAGAAGTAAAAGGAAGTAAATAGATTGTTAATAAACTAAAGGAAAACTAATTAACACATTTAAAGAAAATTTCTCTTGTAAGCTCTAAATTAAATTAAGTTAAATGGCATTTCTAGACTTAGCAAGCGAAAATTATAGAAGAATGGGCTTATCTATTAAGATCAAAAACCAATGAGAGTTCAAACTCATTATACGAAGCCAGCAGTACCCTGACACCAAATCTAGAGAAAGATACCACAAGAAAAGAAAACTATCAGGCCAAAATCCCTGGTGAACATAGATGCAAAAATCCGCAATAAAATACTAGCAAACCAAATTTAACAGCAAATTAAAAGGGTCACGTACCATGGCCAAGAGAGATTTTCCCTGAGGTGCAAGGACGATGCACCATATGCAAATCAATCAATGTGATACACCACATTAACAGAATGAAAGAAAAAAACCACATGATCATGTCAATAGACACAGAAAAAGCATTCGACAAAATTCAACATCCAGAGCCAGCCCTGAAGGCCTAGTGGTTAAAGTTCAGCACTCACCACTCCGGCAGCCTGGGTTCACTTCCCAGTCATGGAACCACACCACCTGTCTGTCAGTTGTCATGCTGTGGTGGTGGCTCACTTAGAACTAGAACGACTTACAACTAGGATACATAAGCATGCACTGGGGCTTTGGGGAGGAAAAAAAATTCCACATACATTCTTAATACAAATTCTCAACAAAATAGGTATAGAAGAAACTTACCTCAACACAATAAAGGCCATATATGAAAAATCCACAGCTAATATCATAATCAATGGGGTAATTTTTCCTCTAAGATCTGGTACAAAGCAGGAATGCCCACTGTCAACACTTCTATTCAACAAAGTACTGTAAATCCTAGTCAGAGCAATTAGACATGAAAAAGAAAGAAAATGAATTCAGAGTGAACAGGAAGAAGTAAAATTATCTCTGTTTTCAGATGACATGACCATCTGTGCATAAAATTATAAAGATGCAACAAAATAACTGTTAGAACTAATAAGCAAATTCAGTAAAGTTGCAGCATACAAAAATCAGTTGCATTTCTGTACACAATGAACTATCTGAAAAGGAAATTAAGAATACAATTCCATTCACTATAGCAACAAAAAGAATAAAATAATTAGGAATAAACTCAACCAAACAGGTGAAAGATTTGTACACTAAAAATTGTAAAACACTGATGAAGGAAATTAAAGATGATACTGAAAAATGGAAAGATACTGTGTTGACGGATTGGAAAAATTAATATTGTTAACATGTCCATACTACCCTAAGTGATCTATAAATTCAGTGCAATCCCTATCAAAATCCCAATGTCATTGCTTACAGAAACAGAAAGATCAAGCCATTGTGGAAAACAGTATGAAAGTTTTTCAAAAAATTAAAAATAGAACTACTATATGATCCAGCAATCCCACTTCTGGGTATAAGCCAAAGGAAATGAAATCAATATCTCAAAGGGACAGTTGTACTCCCATGTTCATTGCAGCATTATTCACAATAGCCAAGACATGGAAACAACCTAAATATCCATCGAAAGATGAATGGATAAAGAAAATGTGATAGGTATCATATATATATATATGTATATATGTATATACATCTCATAGGCAACAACATACAATGGAACATCATTCAGCCTTGAAAAAAAAAAGGAAATCCTGCCATTTGTTACAACACGGATGAACCTGGAGCACATTATGTTAAGTGAAATAAGCCAGACATAGAAAGACAAATATTGCATGATCTCACTTATATGGGGAATCAAAGATAGTCAAACTCATAGAAGCAGAGAGTAGAATGGAGGCTGCCAGGGGCTGAGGGGTGGGGGAAATGGGGAGATGTTGGTCAAGGGGGACAAAGTTTCAGTTATGCAAGATGAATAAATTCTGGAGATCTAACATACAACAATGTGACTATAGTTAACAGTACAGTATTGTACCCTTGAAATTTGCTAAGAAGGTAGATCTTAAGTGTTCTTACCACACACACACACACACACAAGATAACTATGTGAAGTGACGGATATGTTAATTAGCTTGATTGTGGTGATTATTTCACAATGCATACATATATGAAAACATCAAGTTGTACACCTTAAATACACACAATTCTATTCGTCAATTATACCTCAATAAAGCTGGCAGCATTGGCAGGGGGCAGGAATTAAAGGGTACTTAAGCCTGACTGAGCACCATTATCATATGCCAGGCCCTTGACACACATCACCTCATTCCTCACCACCAACCACACCCAAGTATTGTTATCCACCGCTACATATGAGGAAACTGAATCACCGAGAAGTAAAGCAACCAGCGTAGCATCACACAGCAACTTAGAGATTAAAAAGAATTTTTTAAAAGAATACTTGAATTTAAGCCCTGATGACTTATAGCTTACCTTTACAAAGTGCTATAAAATAAACTATGTGTTGGTACCAAAAAACAAATCCAACTAGAGTTCTATGGAAAGAGGAAACCAACTATAAATGCTTTTTCTTAAAAGACGAAAACAAGAAATGTATGCAATTTTATTTGCCAGCTATACTTGAAAAAATTATTTTTAAAAGAGGAACACAGGATTGAAAGCAGGGACTCAGAGATATTTGTACACCCATGTTCATAGCAGCATTAGTCACAATAGCTAAAAGGTAGAAGCGACACAGGGTCATCAATGAACAAAGGGATAAACAAAATGTGGTATATAAGTACAATGGAATATTTTTCAGCCTTTAAAAAGAAGGAAATTCTGACACAGGCTACAACACAGATGAACCTTGAGGAACTTTATGCTCAGTGAAATAAGCCAGTTACAAAAGGACAAATACCACATGATTCCACTGATATGAGGTTCCTAGAGTAGTCGAATGCATGGAGGCAGCAAGCAGAATGGTGGCTCGCCAGGGGCTGGGGCAGAGGCAATGGAGAGTCAGTGTTTAAGGGGACAGAGTTGCTGTGTGAAATGATGAAAAATTCCAGAGATGGATGGTGCAACAGTTACACAACAATGTAAATGTACTTAATGCCACTAAGCTGCACACTTAAAAATGGCTAAGATAGCCAATTGTATGTATCTATATTTTGCCACAATTACAAAAATAAAATAGAGGAAAATAACGATATTTCTATTTTATTTGCATTTATATATATTTTGCTTCTTGGGAGCTCAAAACACTTTCATATGCTTTTCATAACCTTTATTTTTCTTTTTAACATCAATGTTTTTGTCAGAATTAGGAATGCAATATTTACTAATATTTAATAGGTCAAATTCACTCCCAACTTTTGTGTAAAATTACAAAGCAATTTCATCTCCTACTTTGAGGGCACTTAAAAGTACTGTGTATCCTAAATAATTTAAACAGAAGATCAAATAAAAAATTCTCAAAAAGGCCAATATTCATTAAGATCAATTGGGACCAACACTTTGAAAATACTTTGTATTCTAATGTAAAATCACCAGCAAAAAGAAATGGTTAATTAAAACACAAAAAAGAGAGCTCTAATTGGTATATCTAGAAAAACACAATATTTGTCATGTATGCAATTTTCACAAGATCTTACTTATAAACTAAAGTTGTATGAATCAAAAAAAAATTATCACACACCCTTCTCACTAAACATTTGAAAATAATTCAACCCAAATTCAACATTAGTTTATCTGGTGTTTTGATTATCTGTTACACGTAACGAAACACTCCCAAACTTAGTAGCTTAAAATAATAATCATTTACTTGCTCGTGATTCTGCAACCTGGGCTGGGCTGAGTGGTTCTTCTGCGGGACTTGCCTGTGGCCACGTCCTGTGGACACATTTGCCTAGCAGGTTAGCTAGGGTCTGGGCTCAGCAGGGACATGGTAACAGCTGAACTTCTCTTTATATGCAACTTCAGGAGGTCTCCCTCTCCACATGTCCTCTCTACAGGGTCTCTCCAACAGCCAGACTGCTTACCTGCTGGACTACCATCAGGACTTCCAAGAACAGAAAGACAGAAAGTGTCAGTGCTTCTTCATGTTTGGGCTTGAAGTCCCAGGACCCGACTTCCACCACTACATAGCATTGGTCAATGCAGGCACAGGGCCAGCCCACATTCAAGGTGATGAGGAAGAGACGTCATCTCTCTTTTTTTATTTTTGAGGAAGATTAGCCCTGAGCTAATTATTGCCAGTCCTCCTCTTCTTGCTGAGGAAGCCTGGCCCAGAGCTAACATCGTGCCCGTCTTCCTCTACTTTATATGTGGGACGCCTACCACAGCTTGGTGTGCCAAGTGGTGCCATGTCTGCACCCAGGATCCAAATTGGCAAACCCCAGGCCGCTGAGAAGCAGAAAGTGTGAACTTAACCGCTGCACCACTGGGCCGGCCCCGAGCTTTCATCTCTTGATGGGGATGATGAGGTTACATTGCACAAGAGCCTATGGGATGGGAGACATTGCTGCAGCCATCTTGGGACATGTGGTCTACCTCATCTGGCATACGATTTGTGAGGGGCTTGGTAAGCAAGGAAAATATGTTAATAGATAGCAGGGATCACATATAATCCATCTTAAAAGAAACTTCAACACAATAAAAATCTTACATGAAAGATATATTTTACCTCAAGGAAATGGAAAACAAGGCTTCTGCCTTATTGTGTAGTTGGGAGATAAAATATGCAAAAGAGGAACAATTATAAAGGCATTAGTTCATTCAACAAATATTTTTTGAATGTTTAATGTGCTAATCTTCTACCACTAGGTGAAGTGTAATTTTTCAAAGACAGCTTGAAAGCCATGGCTTCTAACTACAGCCACCATAATATTTTAGAAAGAAGTGATGAACACACGGGAATCACAAAAACAGCTGTCACTTTGGGGGAGACTACTAGGTGTTAGGAACTATGCTAAGCACGGTGTCTCTGAATCCTTCCAAAACTCCACGAAGAAAGCCCACCATTAGTCATTTTACAGGGAAGAAAACTGACACTTTGAGAGGCTAAATACTCTCAAAGTAACACCAACTCCCTAAAATATTTGCCAAGAGATTGACCGAGGAAGACTTAGCTACCGGGAATGTCAGAATACATTTTAGAAATGTTACTGCTTATATATATTTTTTATTTCCAATTTTACCCAATCAAGGTTCTCTGGAACAAGCGTGCTCCTTCACTGACATGTGATGCTGTGATTCGGTCTTCAGAACGCCCAGCGTCTTCACACGCTAGGTCTGGAGATTCATCAAGCACCCACACATACGTTCAGGAGCATATCATTCCATTGAACACCCTAATACTTAAAGCCAGTGAAAATTTCTATATGGTGACTCCCATCACTACTCAAGTCTGGGTGGAAAAATACCAAGCTTTTCTCAAATAACTGCATGATTGTCTTGGGTCCAAAATGGAAAATGCTCTTTCTCCCTCTTCCTGCTTTTGCCTCCCACAAGATTGCTGCATGGATCTCTGCTGATCCAGACTTTTCCCCTCCTTAGGGTGGGATGCTTCCTCACGCATTCAGTAAGAGGAAGAGGTGGACAGAAAGTGGAGGCGGCCGCTGAACAGCGGGGCCTCTCCAGGCGGGAGATTGTGTGAGCTGAAGCCAGAAGTCCCTTGAGGGAGGAGTAAGCAGGGGGAAAAGAATGGAGGGGGCCTGTGCGGGCCGAGCAGATAAGAATCTTGCATTCTCCCTCCTTTTCCTTGTTCCTCAGTGCTGGCCGCTGGGGCTCACCCACCCTGTGCCTTTTAACTGTCAGAGAGCCAATGCCAAGTGCTGGGCCAAGACATCGTCGATGACATGTGAGTTGTGTGTGTTCCAAATTGGCCTTCCTGCCTTTCTGCAAGAAAAACAAACTTGAGCTGGACCCCAACAAACATGACAGGAAAAATAACAACCCTTGTCAAGGGCTGATACTGAAAACGGCTGGTCTCTCCACCCCCAAGCCAGCCCCTGCTGTGGACAGGAACAGGTCCCCATCTCTGGCTCCAAGAGGGAGGGCCAGGAATTCCGAAGCTCAGGAGCCTCCATGGTGTAGTATGTGTGGGCCACCAGGTTGTTCCTTCTGAGAGTGCCTGTGCAGGGCACTGAAAGAGGTCCTTTCCAGCTTCCACAGTGATACCACAAGGCATACACACTGCAGCATCAAGCCCATGCTACAGGGAGATCAGTAAATGGCTTTGAGTAACACAGTGATTAAGCAACAGGGCTACACTCACTCTCAACAGTCATAGTTCCTACTTTTATTTTTTGGCTACCTTACAAAAAGAGGAATTCAGAATGTACGCTATTGTTGGGCCCATTTCCCTAGATAATATGCTACAAGTCCTTAATGAAAGCTACTGGCATACATAATAAAACAATAATGTGAAATATTATTATTATTTTAAATAATGCTCCTCCATCAAACTTGTTAGCCTTCCACAAGCTAGAATCTGTTCTCTTTTTCATCAGTATTTTCCATGTGATTTGACATGGTTCACATACAAAGGTGCTCAATTAAACAGTGGGTTGAACTAAACTGAAAATAACTTTTTCTAGATCCAAAAAACAGTATTTATATATACACAAAAGAATTGAAAGCAGGAACTCAATGAGATATTTCTATACTTATGTTCATAGCAGCATTATTCACAATAGCCACAAGATGGAAGCAATCCAAATGTGCATGGACAGATGAATAGGTAAACAAAATGTAGTATATACATACAGTGAAATATTATTCAGCCTTCAAAAGGAAGGAAATTCTGACACCTGCTACAACATGGATGAAACTTTATGGGCATTACGCTAAGTAAACTAAGCCAGTCACAAAAGGACAAACACTATGTGATTTCACTTAAATGAGGTACCTAGAGTATCAAATTCACAGCGACAGAAAGCAAAACAGTGATTACCAGGAGCTGAAGGAAGGGAGAATGGGGAGTTAGTGTTTAACGGGTAAGAAGTTTTAGATCAGGGTTATGAAAAAGTTCTGGAGATGGATGTGGTGATGGCTGCACCACCATGTGAAAGTACTGAATACCACTGAACTATATACTTAAAAATGGTTACGATGGTAAATTTTATGTTATGTATATTTTACCACAATTAAAAAAAATCATTATTAGGTCTGTATTCAGTCTTGGTCAAGGGAGAGAAAATGCTAAATTATGCTGACATCTTCCCCAGTGTGTGCACACTCCTGGAGTGTTCAACTCACAATAATGCAATGTTCAACATATTCTTATCAGCAGACTTGAGCTTGAGGTCTAGGACACTTGCATTAGAAATTTTGCAGATCCATTTTTCCGAAGATTTTAGAGCATTCCTAAGAAGCTTTTTCATAGGCTCAGACAGTGAGCCACTAACTCTTAAGGGTTTTTTGGGTTTTTTCTAAGATTGGTGCCTGAGCTAACATTTATTGTCAATATTCTTTTTTTAATCTTCTTTTTTGGGGCTTCTCCCCAAAGCCCCCCAGTACATAGTTGTATATTCTAGTTTTAGGTCCTTCTGGCTCTGCTATGTGGAACTCGACCTCAGCATGGCTTGATGAGTGGTGCTAGGTCCACACCCAGGATCCAAACTGGTGAAACCCTGGGCTGCCTAAGTGGAGCTCACGAACTTAACCATTCAGCCATGGGGGTGGCCCCTAACTCTTAAGGTTTGATGTAAAAAACAAAGAAAAACAAAAATTTGTTTTGCTTATCTATACTACACTAATAAATTTTTAAAAAGGAAATGAAAATTTTTTCAGTTGTTTTCTTTCATACCTTGTAAAATTCTTCTAAACATAAACTCTTCCATGCCCCTGACTCTACTTAGGAGTCTGGTATAACTTCAATTCCAAAAAAGACAAGGACATTACAAAAAGGGAAAATTATGAAGCCATCTCGCTCACAACTTTCTAAATCAAGTATTAATACACTCATTCCAGCAAATGAAAATAAGCTAATACTTTGCACTTAAGTATATTCCATGAAAACAAGATTAGTTTAATATTAAAAAATCAATTAACCAACCAATTAACTACTAAATTAATCAATTAATTATAAAATTACAGAAAAAAATCATATGAACATCTCAATACATGCAGGAAAAAGCAGTTGATAAAACATAACATCCATTCTTGATAGATAAAAACTCTTAGAGCAAACTAAAAATAGATAAGAACTTCCTTTACCAACCAAAGTGCATTTACAAAAACTCTACAGCAAACATCATATGTACTGGTGAAATGTTGGAAGCTTACCTTCTGGGATTGGAATGAGTCAAGGATGCGGGCTATCATTACTTCTGTGGTAATGGTGGGCTAACCTGGATGGCAAGGCAAGAAAAAAAGTGAAATGTATAAGCCATGGAAAGTGAGAAATACAAATCTTATTTAAATATAATGATTTTGTGGGAATAAAATCCAAAGGGATTTACACATACATTTTTAAAATTAATGCATTCAATTAATACTGACATAGATACAAATTAAATAACAGGGCACCAGGGATGCACTTCCCAAAATATTTTGTGTATTTTGGAGAGGGGGAGTGGGGAAATGAAACAAGATTCTATGATTTGATAATGATTCAAACTGAGTGATGGGGATGGGAGTCTGCTGTACTATTCTGTATACTTTTGCATATGTTTGGAATTTTTTTAAATAAGAAGTTTTTTTAAAAAGATAAGTGAGGCGCTGGCCCGGTGGCGTTGTGGTTATGTTTGCATGCTCTGCTTTAGTGGCGTGGGGTTCGCAGGTTCAGATCCTGGGTGCACCTAGCACTGATTGTCAAGCCAGGCTGTGGTGGCATCCCATATAAAAAAAAAAAGAGAGGAAGATTGGCACGATGCTGTCTCAGGGCCAACCTTCCTCACAAAAAAATAAATAAATAAGTGAGTTTAGTTGCTGAACACAGGGTCAATAGACAAAAATGAATTATAATTCCCTAAATCAGTAAAAGGAGCTAGAAAATATTTTTTAATATACCATTTATAGTAGCATAAAAACATCAAGTAGCTAGTATATATCTAACAGAAATTCACAAGACTTCTACAAAGAAGACTATAAATATTGGAGGAAATTGGAGAAGACATAAATAAATGGAGGGGTATATTATGTTCATGGACTGGAAAACTCAATATTGTAAAAATACCAATTCTTCCACAAAATCCTCCATAGATTAAATGCAATGCCTATGAAAATCTCAATGAAGTGTGTGTGTGTGTGTACGTGCGTAACTTGAGAAGCTAATTAAAATAGAGAGCTAGGGACTAGGAAAAGTCAAGCTCTTGAAGAAGACGTAAAAGGTGAAAAAATTGTTCTACCAGATATGAAGACTTATGAAACTACAATAACAAGACAGTGTGATGCTGGCATCAAGATAGGAAAACAGACCAGTAGAAGAGACTCATTAGCCAGAGAGACTGTCATACAACCAATGTCTGCTATTTGAGAGGAGTGTGTTGCAGAGTGGTGAGGAAAGAACAGCCTTCTACTGGATGGCGCCAGGGCAATGGTACACCCACGTGGGAAACAATTAGACTCCAACCCATCCCACACCACACGCAAAACTAAATTCCAAAAAGGTTTTAGATCAAAATGTGAAAGGAAAAACAAATAAAATTTCTAGAAGATAGCACAGGAGAATAGCTTCCTGGTCTGTGGTAAGGAAACCTTTCTAAACACACAAAAAGCACAAAAGATAAAAGAAAAAGATTTTATATATTGGACTACATTAAAAAATAAGAATTCCTGCTCATAAAAAGACACAAATCAGTGAGTGAAAACATATGCGAGAGAGTAGAAGATACTTAGAACATAAACAAACAACAAAGGACCTGCGTCAAGGATGTAAGAATTCCAAATCCCTAAGAAAAATAAAGATAACTCAGGAGGAAAATGGGCAAGGCCTTTGACAAGCACTTATGAGTTCTATGGCCAAGAAGTAGATGAAAACACAGGCACTTATGAGTTCTATGGCCAAGAAGTAGATGAAAACGTACTCAACCTCATAAGTAATTAGGGAAATGCAAATTAAAATGAGAATTGTTTAAACTGAAAAGACTGACAATACGAATTTTCTGCTGAGAATATAGAACAATGGGAATATTCTCATACTACTGGCGGGAGTATAAATTGGCACAACATTTTAGAAAACAATTTGGCAATTGTCCATCACAGTGGTTCTCAAAGGTTTTGCTTTCAGGACCCCTTCACACTCTTAAGAATTATTGATGACTCAAAAGAACGTTTTTTATGTGGCATGCTAGTTTGCTATAGCTGCCATAACAAAATACCACAGACTGGGCAGCCTAAACAACAGATATTCATTTTCTTGTAGTTCTGCAGCCTGGAAGTCCAAGATCAAGGTGCCAGCAGGTGTGGTTTCTCCTGAGGCCCCTCTTTCCTTGACTTGCAAATGGTCACCTTCTCATTGTGTCCTCAGATAGTCTTTCCTTTTTGCGCACCAGCCCCTGGTGTCTCTTTCTGTCCAAATTTCTTCTCATAAGGACACCAGTCAGATTTGACTGTGACTCACTCTAATGGCTTCATTTTAACTTGATCGCCTCTTTAAAGGCCTCATCTCCAAATACAGCCACATCCTGAGGCACTGGTCGGAGGGGGCGAGAGGTGGGCAGGGAGAACACATTCAGCCCATACACGTAGGTTATATCAATTAATATTTATCATAGTAGAAATTAAAACTGAGACATTTTCAAATATTTATTTATTAAAGATCTGCTTCTAAGCTCATATGATTGTTGGCAGCATTCAGTTCCTTATGGTGCTATAGGACTCAGAGCTTCAGTTTTTGCTGGTTATTGGTCAGAGGCCATCCTCAGCTCCTGGAAGCGACTTGCAGTTTCTAGACATGTGGGGTTTGCCAACATGGCCACTTGCTTCCTCATAGCCAAAAAGGGAGTGAGATTGCAGCAAGACAGCACTAGAATCGAAAGTAATGTAATCATGCAATCCAGTATATGATCATGTGTGTTCTTTCACCTTCACCATGTTCTATTTGTTAAAAGAAAGTCATCGATCTTGCCCTCACTTGAGAGTGGAGGATTGCATCAGGGCTTAAACACCAGGAGGTTGGGATCACAGGGGCCACCTTAAGCATCTGTCCTCTACATATAACAACATATTGTTTTGATTGAAGTTAATGAGAAAAGTCCAACCTCATACAGATATGTAGTTGAAAGAGTGAAGAGTATTTTATTAGCATTCTCAGATAATTGGGGTATTCTTCTTTGATACTATACCAAAACTTGGCAAGTGGTGGTTTCTTAAAGGTTGCAACGTGGAATCAGAAATCATATCAGTGAAATTTTTGTGCTCTGTTACATTAAGATCTACTGGTTTAGTTTAGTTTGACTGGAGTGTTTAACCATACATGATTTTGCAATATAATGCACAGGTCATCAGGAAAATATTCGTTCAGTGGCTTATAAAGATCTTCCAAATATTAACACATTCCATCATACGTTATTAAAAAAAAGTCAAGTTTGTCATTATCACTGCTGGATCCCACCAAAAAGTCTTTAATCAATGGGAAACTGACTAAACTCACAGTGAGAAAAACAAGTTTCCAAAATTTTAGTGAACTCTTCCTCGAGAGAACCGCCATACTTCAGTATACAGCCTTTTGCGTACTTCTCATTTCATCACACAGAATGTTAAAGAGACACGGACTCAAGAATTGAGATTTAATAGAATTAATAGTTTTTGCTATGTCCTCACAGGCATTCTTAAATGAAACTGACATTTATTTATTTTTTCTGCCAGTGCACAGCAGTGAAGTAGTAAACAATGCCTACTAGTAAAGTTTGGTGCCACCGCCTTGAGTGAGGCTAAGAAACTAGAGGTTTTACCCAACATGACTTTTGCAACATTAGTGCAAATGTCATCACAGTGAAAAAGGGCAAATAACGTCTCATTATGGTTATGAAGATAGTTGTTACATCACAGACTCCCTGAAAGTGCTTAAGGGACCCCCAGCATCTATGGACCACTCTTTGAGAGCTACTGATCTATCAGATTTGAACAAAGCCCTTGACCCATCTAGTGTACTTCTAGATATTTACCCAACAAATGCACCTTGATACCCTAAAGGTACATCAAGAAAAGGGCAAGAATGTTTAGAGACGTATAATTTATAATAGCCAAAATGCGAAACAACTTAAATATAAATAAAAATAGAATAGATATACTGTGAAATATCTATACAATAGAATACTGTAAAACAATGAAATGGATAACTGTGGCAGAGCTACATGCAAAAATATGGAGAAACTAAGAAACATAATATTGAGAAAAAAATCAGTCACAAAAGAACATGTAATCTATGATTCCATGTAGGTAAACTTTTCAAAACAGGCAAGCTTACCTAAAGGCAATGCAAAGATGAAAATGAAACTTCAAAAATCTTAGTAGAATATACAGGTGAATTCTTTTGGCTCTTGAGACTATTATAGATTTTTTAAGACACAAAAAAGCTAACTTTATGAGGAAAGATTAATAAATTTAACTCTATTAAAATTTAGAATTCTTACATCAAATATATCTTAAAATAAAAAGTTACACGCAACCAAAAAGAATTAATATCAACAGTACATAAATAATTCCTATTAATCAATGAGAAAAACAGATATAACCTGATAGATAAATGGGCAAAAGGTATAAACAGGTATTTCACAGAAGAGAAAATATATTCGGACAACCAGGATATGAAGAGATGCCCAGTGTCATAGAGACAAGAAAAATACAAATCGTGACCATGACATGAAGTCATTATAAATCCATTTGTTTAGCTAAAATTAAAAAGCTGTGACAATAAAAAGTATTGGAGGGAGGTGAATCCACAGGATTTCTCATACGTTGCTCAAGGGAGTGCAATTTGGGGTAGCCACATTGGAAAACAGTTTAATATCATTTTTAGAAGCTGAACATTCACATATCTGGGTACATGCCGAGAGAAAGATTTACACAGGTACGTCAGAACAGGAATGTTCATAGTAGCATTGCTTACAACAGCAAAACTTGCAAACTACCCAAATGTCCATCAAAGAGAAAATGCATGAAAAATAATGTATTAATATTCACACAAAGGAGTATTATACAGGAGCCAAACAAATGAACTACAGCAGGAGACACCACTATGGAAGAATCTTAGCAATATAATAACAAGTGAAGAACGTAAGTTCCCAGTAGTGACATAAAGCATGATACCCTTTCTAAAAGTTAACAAAAAAATTAAATTAAAAGATATTTTTTTAGGAAATGTGGATACAATAAAAAAGTAAGGGAATGATGAACACAGGACTCAGGCTAATGACTTCCTATGGTGGAAGGAAGAGCAGCACAGGATGCGGAACCCATTGTCAGATGTCAGTCATCGTCAAGATTCTAACTTTTGTGTTTGGCGGTGGGTTTACAGGGGCTTAACGTATCATTATCTATAAGTGAATTAATAAATAGGCAATACTTGGACAAATTTTGAGACTGTGTAATGAACAAGAATTAGGATTAATCCAATTTTGTGCCCTTGAAGTCAGTCCTTCATTAAAAATACATTAGGAATAAGAAATGTAATAGTTGGATCATCGCTGGATGAAAAGTAAAAGGGATACAAATGAAGATCAAATTGAATTTGGAAGATCAAATTGAGGAACTCTCCCAGGGAAAAAAAAGGAAGAAAGGATAGAGAAAGAGAAAATATTTTAAGAGTTCAGAAGTATCATAGATAGATGTAGAAATGCCAAAATCCAGGTAACAAGAACCACCAAAGGAAAAATACACAAATGGAGAGGAAAAAGTAGCAGAGACAAATACCCCATCATTAAAGAATTAGATTGAGTCCATAATTTCTGAAAGAGGAAAGGTAAAGGGAAAAAACAGCACACACTTGGAAACACTATAGCAATATTTAAGAACACTGAATAAAAAGAAACTTCTAAAATTCATATGGAAAAATTATCAAACCAGAAAAGCCAGAAACATACTTTAAAAACTAGAGAGTCATGGCGGTGTTTTTGTCCTACCAGACATCAAAGCTCAGCGTAAAGCAGCCGTGCCTGAAACACTGGGTTACCTTTTGTGAACAGACAATGGCACATATTGGAAATTACAGAAGTCAACTCATATACACACATGAATTTAATATATTATAAAAGTGACTTTACAAATCAATGGCCTTGGGATAACTGGATAACCAAGTGGAAAAAAATCATCTGCATTCTTTATTGGTTTGCTAGGGTTGCCACAATAAAGTACCACAAACTGAGTGGCTTACACAATAAGAATTTATTTTCTCACATTCTGGAGGCTCAAAGTCCAAAATCAAGGTGTTGGCAGGGCCTTGCTCCCTCTGAAGGCCCTAGGGAAGGCCCTGCTCCGTCATCCCTCCTAGCTTCTGGCTCTGGCTTGTGGCAGCGTAGTTCCAATCTTCACACGACGTTCTCCCTGTGGGTGTCTGTGTCTGCATTTCCCCTTTTTTTAGGAACACTAGCCATACTGGATTAGGGGCCCACTCTACCCCAGTATGTCCTCCTGTTAACTAACTACATGTACAATGACACTATTTCCAAATAAAGTCAGATTCTCAGGCACTGGGGATTAGCAGTTCAACATGAAAATTTTAGAGGGACACAATTCCACGAGAAACATATTTCTACCTTAATTTCTACACTACAATAAGTTCCAGAAAGATTAAAATTCTGAAAAAAGAAAAAGGATACAGTGTAAGGACAAGAAGAGCACATGGGATAATTGTTTCTAAAAATCCAAGAACGGAGATGACCATTTTAAATATGGCAATTCAATTAAACTTAATTATAACAAAAGCCAAAGCCATAAAACAAATAAAAAGTTAATAAAATGATCATGTGATTTAAAAAAATTCTGCATGGCAAAAAACTCTATAAACAAAAGAGAAATGATAAACATAGAAAAAGACTTTTGCAATTTATGTCATAGAAGAAAGCATATCTTCTCTAACTCAAAGAGAAAAAGGAACAACAGTAAAATGGAAAAACGAGCAAAGATGCAAATAATAACAAAACTGTCAATAGCACAGAGATACTTATTTTTCTGTGATAAACTGACTTGGAAGACAAATCCCAAATATGTTTGAGTGAAGGACCCACAGACACAACAATGAACAAGCGGATCAAACCAAAGAAGACAATGGTCTTGCTGAGATGTAAACACTGAAAATAAAGCTCAAAAGAAAAGAACTCTAAGTGTTTGGTCCATAGAAATACCGCTATATTTTTAACCTCCAGAAAATTACCTAAACTCTCTAAATGAGCTAAGATGTCTTAATACATGAAATGCAGATGACACTGTCCACTTTACTGGACATTTGTGATTATTAAAGCTGACTATCCAAAGATCCAGGAAAATAAATAGCACACAGTAATTTTACAGTAAATACTCATTTCCTTTCCATTGTCTCTTTCCATTTCCAACTTAAGGATGAGCTTTTCAAGTCTAAACTTCAGTCACATCACATTTTAATTCTTTATGTTCTCCTCACCCTCTAATTAGGGTTACTCTTGATTCACACATGATTCCTGTTTTTTATTGAGGTATAACTGACATACAGTATTATATTAGCTTTGGGTGCACAGCATACTGATTTGACATTCACAGGTGATTTTTATGACAAACTTTCTGCACTTTTTTTGGTATTGTGATGCTTTTGCATCACTGGTTCATCATGTTCGAAAAAAATGACTCTTGGGGCTGGTCTGGTGGTGCAGCGGTTAAGTTCGCACATTCCGCTCGGCGGCCCCGGGTTCGCCGATTTGGATCCCGGGTGCGGACATGGCACCGCTTGGCACACCCTGCCGTGGTAGGCGTCCCACGTATAAAGTAGAGGAAGATGGGCATGATGTTAGCTCAGAGCCAGGCTTCCTCAGCAAAAAAGAGGAGGACTGGTAATCATTAGCTCAGGGCTAATCTTCCTCAAAAAAAAAAAAAGAAAAGAAAAGAAAGAAATGACTCTTAGTAGTGTGAACGGATGATGGCAACAGAAAGGGAGGAGAGAACATTTGTGGTTCTTTCACAGTAAGTTTACCTGGCAAAGGTGAAGAGCAAACACAGCCCCGTGTTCTGAACAAGACGAAACAAGCTGAGGAAGCTGACTGCTCCAGGGCACAATCCTCTGTAAGTGGCAGAAAAGGGACAATTACTGTCACAACCACAGAAGACAGCAGATCTTTGAAAAGCTTCACGGTTAGCTTTTAACGGTCCAATTTTAAGGTATAACACATGCTCCTCGCCTTACTCCTCAAAAAACAAAAGGTTGCTGGGGCGGCCTGTTGACGGAATGGTTAAGCTCACGCGTTCTGCTTCAGCAGCCGGGGTTCGCCGGTTTGGATCCCCGGGGCAGACTTATGCACCACTTGTCAAGCCATGCTGTGGCAGGCATCCCACATATAAAGTAGAGGAAGATGGGCATGGATGCTAGCTCAGGGCCAGTCTTCCTCAGCAAAAAGAGGAGGATTGGTGGCAGATGTTACCTCAGGGCTAATCTTCCTCAAAAAGAAGAAAAGTTTGCTGATATGAAAAAGAATTTTATTTTGCAGAATGATTTAAAATAATTCATAATAGAGATCCCCATCTCAGAAGAGATTAAATACCATAGATAGAATATGAAAAGCATTAAAAATATATACTGAGTGTCTGGGTGAGCAAATATTACTGAAAGAGGGCTTCCTTACTCATGAAGCCTCACTCTCCTTCCCCTTGACTCCTGAATCCATGAATAATTCAAATGAACATAGCCTCTATGGCTATTTCATTTTGGTTAACTGATTTGTAAGAGTTATTTGATGTCCGGAAAGCCTTTTGGATCTTTTTCCAAACCTTTTAATGTCTTTTTTTGTTAATATTTTCTTTTTGTAAAACTATGTTCAGTTCTGACTTCAAAATAGTTAGTTTCTCACATGAATGAGATCAGCTATCCTGAGGTGACAGAGCTCTCTTCAGTCCCATGTGGGAATAATAATTAAATTAATCTAAGCCATTTTTAGCATAAAAACCTCATGCATTTTCCCCAAGCATACTGCAGGTCTTTTCATTAATTAAAAACAACGTCCCCAGCAATAGTCAAATACTGAAAGAAGTTCAAATTTCTCATAAGATTACCCATCAAAGGTATGCATTGTTGAAGTACAACACTGTAAGGCTTTGTATTTATGAATACCATAAATTGCTTCAATTCTGTTCTATTTCCATCAAGTTGCTAGACTTTTCTCAAGAATTACCAGCCTAGAAAATAACAAGTATTGGCAAGGATGTGGAGAAACTGGAACCCTTGTGCACTGTTTATGAGAATGTAAAATGGTAACAGCCACCATGGAAAACCAAATGGTGATGCCTCAAAAAACAAAATGTAGAATTACCATATAATTCAGAAATTCCACTCCTGGCCACATACCCAAAAGCATTGAAAGCAGGACTTGAAGAGATGTTTGTACACCCTTGTTCATAGCAGCATTAACCACAATAGCCAAAAGGTGGACACAACCCACGTGTTCAGATGGATAAATGGATAAACAAAATGTTGTATATACATACAATAAAATATTATCCAGCCTAGAAAGGAACAAAATTCTGACACATACTATAATACAGACGAACCTTGAGGATGTTATACTGAGTCAAATAAGCCAGACACAAAAGGACAGATGTTATATGATTCCACTTACATGGGGGACCCAGAATAGTCACACAGACACAGAGAGTAGAATGGTGGTTTCCAGGGGCTGGGGGAGGGGCCGTTGAAGACTTAGTGTTTAATGGATACAGAGTTTCAGTTTGGGGAGATGAAACAGTTCTGGAGATGAATGATAGCGATGTACGCAACAGTGTGAATATACTTAGTGCTACTGAACTATACACTTAAAAATGGTTAAAATGGCCAACTTTATGTTATATGTATTTTACCATAACAAAAAAGGTAAAGTAAAAATAGCAAAAAGAAGTACCAGCCTAAATGATTATCATAGTGTTGTCCTAATGACGCTAGAGTAAGAATTAAGAGTTAATGTACATAAAGCACTTGGAACAGTGCCTGATGCTATAGTTGATATACACAAAAAATTAGCCATTACCATCATAATCATTGTTACTAAGATTATTACCTCCTACCAACATGTGTTATGCTATAGTTTTTCTATTCTAAATACAAAATTTTCCTGGTGTAATGAAAAGTGATCTCAGTAGATGGCTCCCTCTGGCACTTGTCGCTTTCTCAGGGGAAGCCTGATTTCCCTGCTAGAGGGCAGACTCCAAGGTGTGTGAAAGCCCTGCAGACCTTGAACTAAAGGGCCCCAAACCACAGCAAGGTCTGCATCACCTTTTCGTCTCCCCACATCTGGAGCTTTGCCAACTATTTCTTGGGATCATTTATAATAACTCACTTAAAAAGATAACAGAAATTGCAAGTTAAAGTAATAAATTGTTTTCAGTCCATAAAACATTTATTTAGTCCATAAAACATTTATTTAGTACCATAAAATGCTTTCCAGCAGTTCTATTTTTCAATCCTAGGAATAATTCTGCCACAGGAGTGTTATCTCCATTTTGCGGTGAGGAAACTAAACCTTGAAGCAAGTAAACACTCTGCCCAGTGGGACACAGCATGTCCCACAAAAAATAGAGAAGGACCATCCCCCTGACTCACGGCTCTACTATTTGCAATACGTACTTCAAAAATTAGAAATAAATCCATTTTTTTTTTTTTGTTACATTAAAGCTAAAAGGAAATAGAGACATTGATTTGTCAAACCAAAATGAAGCGCTTCTAAATGCAATTTGAGACCCTGGACGAGTTCAGAAAATTATGCATCATGTAAGGTGCAGCCTGAGAAGCCTTATGAATTCTACTTATTGTCATAGATGGGTCAAAAATCTAGCTATTTGTCTAACAAATCTGGGAAAACCTGCAGACTGGTGAAATAAACAAACTTCAGAAGAATTGTTCCTATGACAGCTCTATCCAACCTCAAAGAAACAGATTTAGAATTCCTAAATGGAAAACATCATAAAACGGACCACTGGCATCTCGCAGCCCTGGAGGAAGAGCCAACAGGTAAGCCAGCATCAGCTGAGCCCTGGAAGGGGGAAGCTGGGCACATGGGCTGAGCCACCTTCTCCAGGGTGAGTCACCAAATGGCTCAACTTAACGTACCTTTTCAGTGATCAACTCATTGTGCCTAATAATCCTGATACCATCATCAAGAGCTTCCTAATTAATCTCTCTAATATTGTAGGTTCAAAGAATAAAGCAGAGATCACCAGAGATCAAAGAAAAAGAAAATACAAAGTCAATTTATTATTTCTTGACCAGGCAAGGAAACACACCCCAATAAAGAAATTCACTGACTAGTCACACAGGGGTCAAGTCAGGGGGCTGAAGGTGGTGGGGTATAGGTGTGTTGGTTATGTTAACTAAGGAATGAACACTCTGAATAGGGTGGAGTCCACAGTAAAAGACTGGTGAAAACAAGCCCCATCGTCTGTTGGTCAAGAAAAAGCCTTCAGTTAGGATCAGCTAGGCTCTGATGTACAAGGGTCTCTCAAAGTCTCTCATGTTTTATCCGTGTCAGTTGCTTAAAATCAGTTCTGATGAAACACAATATTCAGTTTTGGTATCTCCTAAGAAACTGCTGATAGAAATGGAAAATTTTCCTTATGCATAGGTTACAACAACCACATGCAATGCATGACATCATATTGGATACTGACTTGCAAAACCAGCACTAAAGACATTTGGGGGGAATCTGAAAAAGGTTTGCATAGTACATGAGAAGAAAATTTATTAAAATGGAAATGGTTGGCTGACAGAAAAGTCACAAAACAGTGTGTACAGTATGATATCATTTTGCTAATAATAATAATAATGTACTTACTTGTACATATAGAAAAATATTCAGACGGCTATCACAAGTGTTATAATGGTGAGTTGAGGTGAAGGGAATGTGATAGGCTTTAATTTTCATTTTTGCTCTACTTTCTAATTTTCTACAATGATCCTGAGCTGTTTCTGCTGTAATAAAAAGTTATTCTTGTGGACTGATGCAGTGTAAACGATCTCACTTTTCTCTTCCCTGGGGATTTAAAGTTGAAATGTGCTTTGAAATGATATTGGCTTCCAGACAGACAGAAATGACAGCTTGACTTCTGACATCTGATGGATTTTTGCCTCAAATCCACAGCTCTAGCCTCAGCACATGACAGCCCCAAATGAGTCAGACCTGAAGGTGATTATGGAACACTAAGAAAATTTTGGGAACACTTCCAGTTCTTCACACCACCCACATGAATACCTGGAAGCCCAGCGTTACTGTGGCAATCCTCTGGCCAAAGCAGCTGGCCACTCAAACGGAACACGCTGGGTGCTACACTCAGTGCGAGGAGTTAAAGACCAAGTACAAAGCAGTAGGTGACCGTCAGACTTCCTAACTCTCAGGGTCAAAAACTAGATTTCATGACAGGGAGACACAACTCCCACTGATTTATCTTTCCTTTATCCTGTAACTGGTGATTTCAAGTCTATTCCGTGACTGTATCAGTAATTGCTGGGTGGAGGTTTTTTAAAACGCACAGGAATGTCTTTTCTAAACCAAATCAGACCTGCAATTTGCAAATCTCAAGAGACCAAGCAGGATGGTAAGGGCAGACCCCAGGTTTATCAAGAATAAAGAGGGGTCAAAGTTCAAAGATTCGGGAAAATCAAAATAGGCAACTACCGGATGGTATTAACTTAAATAAACCAAATGTAGGGTTAAATAGGCCTGCTGATGTTAAAGGTTACATCATTACTCAACTTCAGCCTTCTAAGACAATGAAGAAATGTGAATAAAATTACCTACCAGCATAAATCATTCTTACCCAACCCAAATCCCAGGGAGGACTGAGGAATTACCTCCTTGTACAATCAAAGATAGATGAGTTCCCTGGCTCTTTGCAGGAGCAGCCAAAGATTAACCTGGCCTTACGGCAGAAATTCGGGCCAGGATAAAGGGCAGAGAAGGCAGAAGTCCAGAACTATGCAAAAAGTCCCACTGAAAGAAAGTTTTTGTTGTATTTAATATTCTTTTATGTTAAAAATACAAAATGGAATATAAAAATTTATATCCTTTCATGCCAATTGTA